AGGTTGCAGATGAATCAGGATTTTAGTTTCTGGTAGTCTGAGTCTCATTCTTGTAAAAATTTTTGTAAATTGGCTCCAGTCAGAGTAACTCCTAGTGGATTCTCAATACAAAATATTAATAAAGATAAAGGCAAAACTTTACCTTAAAAAAAAAATAAATAAATAAAATATTATTATAATTAGACTCTCTAAGTTCGCACACTTAGAATTATACTTTAACAATATGCATTTAGAGAATTATAAAAAAAAATGCATTTTAAAGATCAAATATATATTTGAGTTAAAATTTGAATATTATTTGCAATTATAAAAAGTATATTTAGAGAAGTCTAACTATATTAAGTTTTTTATATAACTTTAAATAACTATTAATATATACATATATATATAATATAGGCATTAAATCCAAATTCTAAAACTACTATATCAGGTCTTCTTGTATTTGGATTACAATTAAAAACTCTAAAGAATACACATAAAACTAGAAGATCACATATAATTAAACCAGCAGTACAATGTTGTGATGGCACTTTAATGAAATGAGTACAAAAAATAGAAGCATTATTACAATCAAGATTTAACAAAAAGTCCAAATTAGTATATAACATCGAAGATAATATAAACTTAAAAAGTATAGATTTTTCAGTTAACAAATATAGCTATCATATTGATTTTAACTCTTTTGACACTGAAAAAGAAAATCAAAAGATTCAATCATTAGTTCAAACTGTAGACAAAAATCAAATATCACGTAACTCATATCGTAATTTAGCTATATATGAGCCAAACCTACCACAAGAATGGGCAATATCAAATAGAAAAAATAAGATTACTAAGAATATAAATCAAGTAATTAAAATGATTTATGTAGATCTTAATAATCGTAGAACTTTAGACTATTCTAAAATAGATTCAGATACTGTTAAAATTTCAGAAATAGGAATTCAAAAAAGTGCTAAAGATCTGTTAATTTATCTTATTTCACAATTAGAAAAAAAAGGTATTCTTTATAGTTCTAATCCAACTATTCACCTTCGTATTTCTGGAGATGGAAGAAACACTGGATCCAAAGTAAAGCATGTAATGATAATAGTTATGATCCTAAATGATATTAGCAATCATTACTATGTGGACCATCATTATACAACAGTTCTTTATTCTAGCATTGAAAAATATGATGTTTTAAATTTTATTTTAAAACCTTTTTTGAATGATCTACAAATATTAAAGGATAAAGGATTAGATATTATGGGAACATATTGGGATTTTAAATTATATTCCAGTACAGACTGAAAGTTTTTAGCAATTAATCTTGGAATTAATAATGCTAATTCTCGATATTTCTGTTTATAGTATAAATGCTTAAAGGAACAATATTCAGATTTAAGTCAAAATTGGTATATTAGCAAAAAAATAGAAGAAATTGCTAAAAATTATAAAAATTTTCTTGGTTATATGAATCCACCAATATTCAATATTATACCAGTCGAAAATGTTGTATTTGATGTACTTCATGTATTCTTATGTATAACAGATCAATTATGATTACTAATATTAGCAAAAATTAAAGAAAAAGGGTTATTTGATGACTAGGTATGAAAAATAATCATAAATGAAATGCATAGACTAAAGATCTCATTTCACTTTTGGGAAGATAAGGAAACACATTTGTAAAAATATATATCACTCTGTGGTAATAACAAAAAAAAGTTTTACAACAAGTACATATATATATACATATTTGTATATAAGGCTATATAAAGTTAGTTAATTGTTTCTCATCTGGCCAGACCAACTTTTATAAATTTTCGGCACAAAATTTTATGTTATTTATTATTAACACTTTTGGGTTAGTTCTTTTAGAAATCTTTTGTTTTTTGGACAAAAAAGCTTATAAAATTCTTTATAATTAAAAAAAGCTATGTACGCAGGTGGGTTACTTTAGATTTTATATTATAAGAAACAATTATTTAACTTTGTATGGTCTAATACAGCGATAGTATAATTTTATATCATATATATTAATATATATTAATAATTTTAGTTTAATCTTGAGTTATTATTTCAACCATCATAGGCTACTCTTATTAAAAAACTCTGGAGTGATTTTTATCACTTATATGTCAATCTGTGTAATAAAAGGACCAATCTTCAGAACTTCAAACAATAAGCACAAGCTTGGCTAGCTTTATATTTAACACCTTCACAAGGCAATCCAATTAATCAATGGTCATTTATACAGGTTATATTTATCTAATCATATTACTCCATATATATATGCGGTGGTTTATCATAGTTAGGAATTACTTGAAAAGCATCAAGAATGGGGATTAAAGGCATTCTCATGCGAAGTAGTAGAAAAAAATTATGATCAAGGTTCATGTTTTTTTAGAAAAACTTTAAAAAATAGAGGCCATTTATTTAAAAGAAAACCGGCAGTTCAAGAAATTATAGAGTATGAAAATAGAATGCTTTTAAATACCTATAATCACCATTTTGAGTTCTATAAAACAAAAAAACTTTGTCTTAAATAATACTAAAGTTTTTTTGTTCAGGGTTTGACATTAATAAATCTTAATTTTTGTATAAGTGAATTTATAATTTTTTATTTAAATCAACTTGAATATTTGGCTTGCTATGAATATAGGATTGGATAATTCAAAAATAAAATATTCATAAATTTGCAGATATTAATAATTCGGGTAAATTATCCTAACTTGATTAATTTAAATATAGAATCGAAGAACGATTAAAGCAAGATATTCAATTATTATTGAATCTGGATATATTTATAATTCAGATAGAATAGCTGTTGACATTATACAGTATCGAAGTTAAAAAGTATAGGTAATTCTGATAGAATAATTCTGGCTTAATCAGTTAAAAAACTAATGGGAGTTTCTTCACTAATTTAAATTTAAGATTTTTGAGCCTTTTATTGTTACGAATATGTAATTAAAGTTTTATCCATTATCAATTGATCTGAATGGAGTATTTAGGTTTGATTATTTGGTTATTATGAATAAAAATAAATCATTAATTATTAAGGTCAGCAAATATAAGCATAGTAGAATTGGAGTTAAGTTATAGAATTTTGCAGATATAAATAATCCGGATGAAATATTTGAGCCTTATTATTGTTAAAAATGCAGAGTTAGCATTAGAAATAATAATAAGCATCATAATATAATAATTTTATAACCTTAGGTATTCAAATTATTCAAAAGTTTTTTTTTTAAGCAAAAGAACTGTTTTATATTATGAAAAATTAATTATATAAGCTTATGTAGTTAAATACTTCTTTTTCATCTTTATATATATAATACATAAATAAAACTAAGCCTATTTTAAAAAATAAATATCAAATATAATTTTATTTATTTGATAAGTATATTTATAATATATA